TCAGCAAATATATTTTGGGAGTTTTTATTTGACTCGAGTTGAGTCGAGTCAAATTTAAGTATAACTCAAGTTGAGTCAAGTTAGAGATTTAAAAATTTTTGACTTAACTTGACTCAACTCAAATTTTTTGAGTTGAGTCAAGTTATCTTTAAAACTCGACTCAACTTGACTCATTAGGAGCTCTACATAGTATATGATTTTAATATTTTATTCAGCTAGTGGTATTCATGTTGAATGGATTTTTAGTGAAGTAATGTTAGGATTTACTGTAATCTTCATCTTTTTAGGTGGAATCTTGTAGTTGGAATACTGCGCTGGTTAAAACCTTTGATAAAAGTTTTACATATTTTGATCAGATAGAGCTTTTCTTCTTCATAAGTAATCATTAGCTTTATAATTTGGAGAAGAGCAAATGGCACAAAGCTTGATCTTTGGATTGGTCCATATTACGTGCTTACCATCAATTATAAGATGATCATTGGAAATTATTTAAACACATTTTTTTTTTAATTCAGATAATTGGAATGAGATGTTATAATTTAGAATCTATTGAAATTATATATCAATCCCAATCTTAGGTCTCTGCCAGCTCATATGTTCATTGGCAATCCATACTGGTAGAACTGGCCCAGATGTTACCATATCAGCAGAATTAAGCCTTATAAAGGATTTGACATCCCCTCCAGTCAGTGTTGTCATGGGACATAGTTAGGACACTGATGGGACACTGATGGGACATTGATGGGACAGATGGGACATTTGGGACATATATGGGACATAGTTGGGACATATAGTTGGGACATATAGCTGGGACAGCAAATGCTTGGGACATAGAAAATGGACATCACTGCCTCCAGTTACCACTCATCCAGGAACTACATACTATTATAGGATTAAGAAATCTATTATACTATATATCTTGCTAGGGTATACTCTTATCCAACTAATGTTGTAGGGTTTATGGGATTATTACCACAAGATTTGCCCAAATGGTGAACTAGCGGGATGATGATCAGGTCATATTGACAAACATATTAGGAATCAAACCTAACCTCAGACCCAATGATATGCTCAATTAGATGTTGCTATGGCGTACAATGCAGTCTATTATCACTGTTGATATAATCTACTAATTTCTGGTCAATCATTTTCTTAATTTATATACAATCTTATATTTTAAACACATATTTTTTTTACTTTTTTTTCAGTTCAGGTGATTGGAATGAGACGTTATGACTTAGAATCTATTAAAACTATATGTCAGTCCCAATCTTATGTCTCCGCTGGCTTATATGTCTATTAGCAATCCATATCGGTAGAACTGACCCAGATGTTGCCATGTCAATAGAATTAAGCCCTTATAGAGGATTTGACACCCCCTCTGGTTACTATCTATCTGGAAACTACGTTGTGACGGTTAAAAATTCTACTTATAGAATTTTTAAGAATTTCTATGTTAATTCTATTTTCTTGCAGATCAAA